GAAGAAGTTAGAATATTCAGAAACTGATACTGGAAGGTCAGTGTCTCAGGGAAATCCCTTGGCTAAACAACAACACAAACAAAATACAGTCTAGTAAGTATCTTCTGTGCTCTGGGCATGGGTCTAGGTCTTTCACTTACATCAACTCTTTCATTTCCCTCCACAAAGCTGAAAGAAAAATTTAATATTCCTTTATCCTCCCCTCTACTGCCTGGTGAGATAAAAGACGGAGGAATCTACAGTCAGAATGACCTGAATCAAGTTGCACTTCCACCATTTCAATATTCCATACAGGTACTACCTAATCAAAGACAACAAGTAGATAAATCCCAGGAACATCATAGTGCACACGACAGACAATGGCCTGGAAGCATGGAGCTTATAGCCTAAAAGGGCAATGGCCACTGCCAAAACTTACCAGGGGAGGAAACAAATTGAATCATTACAAAGTCAAATATACAGAATTGCTGGGATACTCTTATATACACATCATTTTTGAAGTTAATAAATATGGACAGGATATACATGTTTAATGAATATTCATATAAGTAGTGACTTTGCACCACAAAATGTGTAACCATTTACATTTCCAACTCTGTTTAGTAAAGGTGCACAGCAATCTGCAGTAATAAAGGAATTCTATTCTAAGTCTCCTAGAACTTGTTCCCTAAAAACCTTAAGAAAAGCCACAAAATAAGGCTTTGGTGTGCTAAAAATTCATGTCTCAAAATTCAAAAACCCATCCACAATGTTGAACACTTCTACTGCAATTCTGAACCCACACATCTTCCAATTCTTGTCGAGAATGATAAAAACAACCTTAACTTTCTTCAAATTACTGTAATAGGAAGGATAATGTCTGAGGGAAAAGTTGTGGCTTTAACTATAGTTGGCTCCCCTTGCATTCTGTAACCTTTAATGGATCTTTATCTGTCATAAAATACCAATAAATGATGACTATCTTACAATTAGAAACCTCTCTGTATGTACAAATCATGTATAAAGAAGACATTGTAAATCAACATAAAAATGTTTGAACATATAGAATATCTCTGAGTTTATGCATTCGGCACAAGAATTTCTGTAAAGCTTCGGGCACAGATTATATAATCATTAGATTAGGTAATGAAATTACTTAAATCAACAGACCATCAGCTGAGTATTTTTGTTGACAATGTATAGTTTTAATCCCAACTACTGTAACCAAGTAGGTTGATTTTTGTGAGAATTAGAGCTCAACCAGAAAGCAATGGGCTTTGAGGAATGAAAGCCAGAAGGCAGGACTCATCCCAACATGAATGTTGCCAGGTTGCACCTTTAGAGGGCACCATTTACATTGTTATCTGAACTCTTCCAGAATAAATTATTTTCTTGGGGGATCCTTGCTTGATTCATGGAGGAATGATCTGAAAGTTAATCCAGAGGGCACTAAATCCAGAGGGTCCCGTGACCTGGGACACACCAAGTGAACAATGGAGACTGATAGGACTGCACCAGAAGGAGGTTGTAGTACAAAGTGTGAAGGAGCTAGGCCCACAGAACTGGGAGGGGAGAACTGCATGGTTCAGAGGAACACACCTTGATTGAGGGGACTTCAATTTAGTTTAATGTTAAATGTTATATATTTTAACACAATTTAAAAAAAAATACCAGAGAAAATGCAATCCACTCATCTTCCATACCACCCAAAATGACCTTTGACTATGACTGAGGTTTCTGAATATATCAAGAAATCTGGCATCGATACTCATCCCAAAGAAGTTGATATGTCTGCAACTATTAAATTACTCAAACTTTAAATGCTTGGAATGCTGCCACCTCTCTCTCAGTCACTCATAAATAAAACTCAATCTTCCAGAAAAATCTGGAACATAAACTTCAAGACTGAGGTTTCCAGTCTCAGAACAACCATATCATTGAAAAGTCATGTTTGGGCCTCCCTGGTGGCCCTAGGGGTTAAGAGTCAGCACTATGAAGCTATCCACAGCCACTGCAGAACGAGTTCCATCCCTGACCAGGGAGGTGACCCACACAGCACAGCAGGCCTCTCCTGTCTCCCCGCTGCTCCCCTCAGCTGTATATTTCAATGGATCTTCTCATTCTCTCCCCTGCCCCCCCCATCTCTGGTCTGCACCCCAGCTCTTGTATGCATAAATAAATAAATGGTTAAAAAAAAGAAATCCATTCTGAAAGAAATCCATTCTCTCAGTTGTGATTATGGCTAAAACAACCCCATATCCTATTGTAGGGTCACTAGTGTAAACATGAGCAATAAAGCCCAGTAATCATGTTCCCAGCTGACCTTACCCAATCTTAACCTAAACAGTATCAGAGACATACATCTAACCTAAGCTCTAAAACTGCATTTCTAAAACTGGCCTCTAATGATGTTTCTGGCTGCCAAGAGGAAGAAAATAGGCTGATTATTAGCAAAGCTTACAACACGGCCAATTATTAATCCTCTGAGGACTTGAAAGGTCAATGCATTACCAAACCGTGTACTTCAAGAAAGTCTATTTAAACACTTCTCCTAAGTCAATGAAGGAAGAATTACACAGAAAGACCTTTAAGTAAATGACAGCTGCAGAGCCATGTATCAACAAGCTGAAGAATTGTTTGGAAGACTACTCCCATATTAATGTGAGTCAGAAGTAAGGCTTATCAGAAATAAAATGAACTCCTTCAACACTGCTGAAAGTCTTTTTGGGAAACAAATATTGAGCAGACTTGATTTCAGAAAACAATGTCCAAATAAGTGGGTTTGAATGACAGATATTCTTTAGCAAATTCTGCAAACTTATCATGATTTCAACAGTTTTTCTTTACTCCCACTATATTTAATTTGGATTGAATGTAGTTCTAAAAGATCCCATAAAAGATCATGCTCAGCAAAATAAGCCAGAAAGAAAAAGAAAAATACCGGATGGTCTCACTCATAGTAGGAATCTAGAAAACTTAAATAGGGAACCAGGAAAAAGAATAACTATAAGAAAGAAAATATCAAAATCAACAAACAACTATGAACCAGAGACACTCTAGGGCAGGTGGTGGGCGGGGAAAGGAGTGATTGGGGTCAAAATAAGGGGGTTGTAATTGTATGGGGAATATAAAAAATAAAATTAAAAATAAATAAAAATGAAAAAAAAATCCCATAAAAATCTATTTTGAAGATGTGTTTATCTTTTGCAGACAGCCAAGAAACTGTGTAGAAAGTAAATTCTAGAAATGGAAGATTCCTAACTAACAATCATTTTATGAGTAACTCCACACTGTCATGAGAACCAAAATAAACAATGTCTATGATTGAGGAAGGTATCTAGAAAGGTAAGAATTATACCGTTGCTTCTGTTGGTTCATGAAATCAATTTGCAGTTGTATGAGATCTGCCTTAGGAGGAAGAAATCAATATCTGTGCTCAAGCTAAAAACTGAGGACTCTACAGCAACTAAATCCAGGTCAGTGATGACTGAATCTTTTTCCTTAAATTTTAAGATAATTAGCTTATTTAGCCAATTTATTTTCACTGAAATAGTTTTTGTATTTAAATTTGTGAAATGAAGTTTAATTATTTTCTTTAAAAATGAATTTGAACAAAATGAAAAAAATATCAAATGGAAAACTATATAGGGAGAATTGTCAGACAAGATGCTGCTGAAAACTATAAAATTTATAGATATTTATGTTTCACTAACTTGACTGGTTCTGTGTATTCAGGTTTAAAATTCTTTCTTCATTTCCTTAACTTCCAGTCACCATTCTGAAATTAGTAAATCCACTGAGATAACTAACTCATAGTCACCATAACGTCTATGGGAGCCATGGATAGAGACTAAAAACAATTGTTTTTAGTCTGAACTTTAACTGAACTTTCTAAAATCTAAAGGATTCTAAGTGAAGCTTTGAAGTCAAAATGATGATTTCTGTGGCCATATTTTTTACTAAAAATATGAGTAATATTTTTGGCAAGGATTATAGAAAGAAGAAAAAGAAGGGAAGAGGAACTGAAATACTTCATGATCTTTTGTAATGAAAATATATACTCACTCTTGAAAATCCATGCATAATCACTGGATATATTCAGCATTTCCACTAGTAGTTATAAAAGCTTTGTGTTCATTTTGATTGATTAAACTAATGTCCAAAGGAAAACCTGTATTTTCCCAGGTGACTAACATTTATTTCTGTCTTGGGCAAAAGAAACTGTGGGAAAATTCGACAAATTTCAGTCTATTTATAAAATGTACGTTGGATTAGATATCAAATCCAGAGCATTATTCTATCTTTTTAAAAGATCAATTTGTCAGAGAATTCATTTTAAAAAATATTTAAAACTCTGTAGGGTTTTTGTGCTACTTCCAAAAAACTAAAGGAAAGTCACCACGAGCCAGACAGGACCAGGGTCACTGAGAGAACACTCTTAAATGAGTTCTTATAAAGATAGTTGCTTGTCATTTTGAAGGGCAAAAAACTACATCTGATCTTTCTCTGTATGTGTGTGTACATTCATTTGACAGAAAAGAATAACCTTGTGGAAAACTGTTGTATGACATAGTAATGCTTGGCAACTTCATATTTCACATACAGTTGAATTTTAAAATAATATTGGTTTACACACATATAAATCTTCATGCTAACCAATATGCAGGTAAAATGTGAAAATAATTCTGTTGCTGAATTTGTTCCCAAATGTGAAAAACAGACACTCGGGAGACATTTAGGACTTAGAAAGTTTGGATTCAACAGAAAAACTATATTCAAAATGCCACATTGTTTATATGGTGCTACTGAGTTGTGACTCCTCAATTAATATTTATTAGAGAAATTTAACTTCCTTATATTATCCCTTTAACTATCTGCAAAATAACAGAAGTGAATGGAAGGTATGGCTCTACCAATCCTAGAAAACAGGTAATGGAATATATTAATATTGAAATGTCATCGCTCAGAAACAACTGTGATCTTTCCAGATGGACCACATGCTCACATACCAATCTGATTCCATGGAAAAGATTAGCAATGTAACTGAATTCATCCTACTGGGCTTGACCCAGAATCCAGAATTGCGAAAAATCCTATTTGCTGTGACATTGATCGCCTACCTGATCACACTGACAGGAAACTTGTTCATCTCAATCATCATCTTCATCACCCCAGCCCTGGGTTCTCCCATGTACTTTTTTCTGGCCTATTTGTCCATCATAGATGGTTTCTACTCATCTTCCATAGCACCCAAAATGATCTTTGACTTGATTTATGAAAAGAACACCATTTCTTTCAATGGCTGCATGACTCAGCTCTTTGCTGAACACTTCTTTGCTGCAACTGAAATCATTGTGTTAATGGTTATGGCTTATGACCGCTATGTGGCCATCTGTAAGCCCTTGCATTACATGACCATCATGAGACGACCTGTGTGCGTTTTCCTAGTGGTAACGGCGGGAATTTTAGGGTTTATTCATGCAGGGATCCAGATTTTGTTCATGGTCCAGTTGCCATTCTGTGGCCCCAATGTCATTGACCACTTCATGTGTGATTTAATTCCTCTCCTCGAGCTAGCCTGCACGGACACTCACATTTTGGGACCCCTGATTGCTGCCAACAGTGGCTCACTATGCATGCTTATTTTTCTATGCTGCTTACTTCCTATATTGTCATCCTGCGCTCCCTGAGGAATCACAGTGCTGAGGGGCGTCGCAAAGCCCTGTCTACCTGCGCTGCTCATGTCACTGTGGTCATCTTGTTCTTTGTGCCTTGTTCGTATCTGTACCTAAGACCCATGACCTCCTTCCCCACTGACAAAGTTGTCATGGTGTTTTGCACCATAGTAACTCCTATGTTGAACCCCTTAATCTACACCCTCAGAAATGCAGAAATGAAAAATGCCATAGAGAAATTCTGGGGGCAAATAATGAAAATCACAGATTAATCAATCTTATAAATGGAGAGTTCAGGCAAAAGAATCTAGTGATCTTTCATCTTTATTTATTAAACTTAAAATATTCCATTATCCCATATGAATCAATTTGAGGGTAGGGCTGATATATCCCTTAAGGTACAGTAGACACAGGGTCTAGAGTCCAGGATAATTTGAGAAGCCATTAAATGTCTTGATTTCTTTTAAAGTAAGAAGAAAAATGAATATAGATGAAATCCAATACAAATGCAGTCTAATTAACCAATGAAACTAGAGAACAAGGAGAAGGAAGAGGAGAAATAGAAAGATGACAATGAAAGGAAAGGTCTTTAAAAAATGTTGATGGTGATTATTCTAGGTGACAGACTTATACATTTATACACAGGCACAACAAACACACACACATGAAATATCCAATTTTAATTTCTTGTAATGTATGATTTTTTAATTAACATGTGTTTGGTAGTAAGATATTTTGCAAAGACTGCAAAGTGGACATGCCACTACATTTGTAACAAGAATGCTTATAATTTTTCAATCAAATAGAAAATTTCTGGTGCTATCTGCTTCTGTGTTCATTCTAGAAGGTTGAATTCTAAAAATAAGCAGCATTCACAAGTTAGTTAGACCACTGCTAACCAGAATTTCAACAACAAAAAACAAGGGTGCACCAGCACCAGCCCTCTAAGCTGTTTGATATTTAACTTTTTATTTAAAACTAAACATGCATTTCAAATTTCAACTAAAGTATGGTTTTCTAGAAAGTCTCTGAAATTAAAATTGTAATCAACTGATCTTGACGAATAACACAGGAATAGACAAAATGTAATCAATATGAATTGTACACAATTTAGTCAAATAATGAATTTATTGCCCAAAATTAAAATTTGATAAATCTCTTCTATTTCAAATGTCAGTGACAAATGATTTGTTAAAAAGAAAATTTTCCTGTTTGAGTAATCCTGGAAAAGCAATATTATTCTTTCTCAAAAAATGATCACTTGAGAAAATATCTCTCCATTTTCATTTGAGTTGCATTTTTCATTTTCTTGATGCTAAAAGCAGACAGCAGAAAGCTTGCACTGAATGTTTATGAGGATGCCAACAGATGGCCAAGTGCTTTGGTTTTGTGTTTTACACCCTATGTCATGGAATGGTGGACCTGGAAGAGTTCTGAAAGAGTCATCTAGACCATCTCCACGTTTCACTGTTTCAAGGGATTAAACTCCTGGGTGAAATTTTAATTGTTTTTCACAGTGAGGCAAAGCAAAAACTGGGAAGGTGCTGCTGATTACAGAAACCCATGATCTGAAAGAGTCTTACAACATTAGGAAGTGAAAACCCAAAGAGAGACATTCATTACAAGCAACTGGAAACTGTTCCATCATCCATTTCTGTTTGCCAAAGAACCTGTGTTACTTTAAATCATGACTTTCCAATCTCTCCATGTTTATACTGGTACGTAGAGGGATTTTAGACTCAGAAATAGTAGGTGCAACTGGTCCAAAATCAACTCAATGAGTCATGGCAAGCGGGTGGCTGGATCAGGTCACTACTCATTCCACTTGTGCCCTGCCTAGCATAAGCACGACCTACCACTCCCTACTATTTCTGTCCTTGACAATCAACAAAAAAAGTAATGAGGAATTCTGGGAAGCAGCTCACAGAAGGAGTAGCTGGCTTATTATCTCTGTTTTGTGCCTACTAAATATTCATCAGGGCCTCCCCTGGTGGCGCAGGCGGTTGAGCGCCGTGTGCTGAAGCTGTCCGCAGCCTCTGCAGCACCAGTTTGATCCTGGCCAGCCAGCGAGGGTCCCACATGGCCCAGCAGACCTCTCCTGTCTTGCCCACTGCTCCCCTCACAGCAGTGTATTTCATCAGTCTGCCTGTTATGTTCCCCGTTCTGTCTCTGGTGAATTCTCTCACCCTCCCGCACATCCGGCCTGTACCCAGTTCTTGTATAAACAAATAAATAAATCTTTGAAAAAATATATTCATCAGCACAGTCTCAGAGAAAATCTTCCTCTTTCCACTAAAAAGGGTTTGTTATAAATGGAGTAAGAAAGTAGGAATGATCAGTGCTTTGTGTTTTTATTTCTCAGGAAGAATAATTTCCCTGGTCACTAGGATCACTAATTGAAGCAGTTTTGGAGCTAACTTTTGCCTCATTTACAGGTTAGAACAATGTTGATGTCATCACTTAATTAGCCCTTTTGAATATATTTGGGACTCACAAGAAAAGATCTTATTTTTACCTCCAGTGTCCTTCTAAAGACTACAGAAAGTCCACATAGTGTCGGGAGAAGAAGAAGTTAGGATTTTAAGAAACTGATATTGGAAGGTCAGTGTCTCAGGAGAATCCCTCGGCTAAACAACAACACAAACACAATACAACCTAGTAAGCAGCTTCTGTGTTCTGGGCATGGGTCTAGGTCTTTCACACAGATCAACTCTTTCATCTCCCTCTGTAAGACTGAAGGAAAAATCTAACTCTCATTATCTTCCCCTCTTTTGTGTGGTGAGCTAAAAGATGGACAAATCTACAGTCAGAATGACCTGAATCAAGTTGCACTTCCATCATTTTAATTATTCCATACAGTACTACCTAATCAAAGACAACAAGTTGCTAAATCCCAGGAACAACATAGTGCACATGACAATGGCCCTGGAAGCATGGAGCTTCTAGTCTAAAAGGGCAGTAGCCACTGCTAAAACACACCAGGGGAAGAAACAAATTGAATCATTACAAAGTCAAAATCACAAAATTGTTGGGATACTCTTAATACTTGTAATTTTTGATGTTAGTAAATATGGACAGGATATACGTGCTTAATGCATATTCATGTAAGTAGTGACTTTGCACCACAAAATGTGTAACCATTTACATTTCCTACTCTGTTTTGGAAATGTGCACAGCAATCCACAGGAATAAAGGAATTCTATTGTAAGTCTCCTAGAACTTATTCCCTGAAAAGCTGGGGAAGAGTTCAGAAATGGTTTTCAGAAAGAGATTTCTCACCCATGGTTACAAATATTATGAGATGATTTTTCTCATGTTCTTGGGACTTTACCTCACTGTAGAAAGGCTTTTTTTTCAAATATAGGTATTTTTCCCTAATTGCCTATGAGTGACTATCTTGTAAATATATATAACAACATTGTGTTTTAAAAATCTAATTCATCTTGTAAAGATCGAGTGGTAGTTTCCAATCAGACAATGAGAGGGGATAATAGACAAGTAAGGATGATGATGGTGATGATGATAATGACAGCTAATTTTTATTGAACATTTTCTGTGAATAAAATCCTGACCTAGCATTCATTTTATGTTTTGGAAGCATCACATTTCTTAATTTCTTTGTCTTTGATATAAGACTCAGCCTATGAATGCATCTATGTCTAAAACATTTCATTATTCTCACATAATGGAGACCCCACCTATATAATGGGTCATATGGAAGCATCAATAAAACATTACTAGTCTAAACAATTTTGCAGCATTTTTATTGGTATGCTGATTATGTGAAAACTGCTACATATGCATTTTGTTATTTAATTCTCACTACTGTCCATAAGTAAAATAATATTGGTATCTGTTTCATTATTTGGGAAACCAAGGGTTGATTTTATTCATTGTATTGCTCAAGATCAGGCCACATTTGGCTCCATCAAAATTCAAATCCAAGTCTGTCTGACTAAAAACTTTGTGTTTTACCAAACCCATGTGATGTCCCCTTAATATGAAGACAACAATCTCAACTTCTGACATTTCCCTTGTAGGATCAGATCCTAAAGCAGTTCTGGGGCTGTCTGTCACCTCATTCACAGGTTAGAACAACACTGATGCCATTATGTAGTCATTCTGAATACAGGGAGGGACTCACAAGAAGTGCCTTATTTTTGCCTCTCTGCATTTACAAATCATAATCAAAGGGGCATTGCTAATCAACATAAAAACTTACAATATATGGATAAATCTCTGAGTCTATATATACAGAAGAGTAATTCTCTGCAAAGTTTCAGTTATAGACTCCATAACCAACTAAATATGCCACATAATTAAAATATTTAAAAGGTATAACATTATTTTCATCAAAATGTATCATTTTATCCCAACTGCTATAATCAACATAGATTTACTGTTGTGTGATCTACACACTGCTAAGTTAAATACATGCTTTTCTTCTCAACTTTGAAGTTGATTTAACAATATGAATGTAAATGGTGCTGGGAAAACTGGGTCACTACATGCAAAAGAATGAAGCTTGACCACTACCTCACACCATACACAAAAATCAACTCAAAATGGATTAAAGAACTAGACATAAGACCTGAAACCATAAAATATATAGAAGGAAATATAGGCGAAAACTACGTGATTTGCACATCAAAGACATCTTTACAGACATATCACCCAAAGCAGTGATAGTGAAGGCAAAGATAAACAGCTGGGACTACATCAAATTAAAGAGCTTCTGCACAGCAAAAGAGACAATAACAAAAACAAAGAGAAACCCCACCGACTGGGAGAACATTTTTGCACCCAACACTAATGATAAAGGACTGATCACAAAAATCTGCAAAGAGCTGATGAGACTCAACAACAACAGAAAATAACCAGTCAAAAAATGGCAGAAGAGCTAAAAGAAACTTCTCTGAAGAGGAATGCAAATGGCCAACAGGCATATGAAAAAATGTTCAACATCACTTGTCATCAGGGAAATGCAAATCAAAACTACCATGAGATACCATCTTACACCAGTGAGAATGGCACATATTAAAAAAACTAGCAACAACAAATGTTGGCGAGGGTGTGGAGAAAAAGGAACTCTTCTGCACTGTTGGTGGGAGTGCAAACTGGTCCAACCACTGTGGAAAGCTGTGTGGAGATTTCTGGACCTACTAAACATAGAGCTTCCATATGATCCAGCAATTCCACTCCTAGTATTTACCCAAAGGACACAGAAACATCAATTCCAAAGAACACCTGCACCCCTATGTTTATAGCAGCA